TTTTTTTTTAATCCGACACTGAAGGCAGATGATGACTACGACGAAGCGGCAGTGAGCCTTCTCCGAGCCCGTTGGAACCAGTCCAGATGTGCATGGCTACGAGACCCCGCTCCAACTTTACGAGCTGTTTTTTCTGAAGAACTGCTTGCTATTTTATTGACCAGGGCAACGAAGACATCACAGCAGCAGCGGGGTCTCCCAACGGTACAGAACAACTGAGAAGATTCTTCTGCCTCCCTTTGCAGATGTCGCGCCGTCCTCCACTTGATAATCAGCAGAATTAGGTCGCTGAAACCTCGGAACTCTGCCAGCCATGGACATTCAATCGCCTGAGATTTTGTGACCAGTTCGAATTGAGAAAATCCGAAGGCATCTTCACTTTGTCGACAACGCTGCTCCCGACAGGGTGAGCAAGCTCTAAAAGCTGCAGCCTGTTCTCGATTACTTGAATAATTGATTGCAAGCTATGTATTGACCTGGAACAGAACTGTGCAACGACGATCGATGGTACCATTCAGAGGTCGCGTCTCTTTTCGGCGGTACAAAGGTACAAAGCGTCATCGATTCGGAAACGAACTCCTCAAGCTCTGCTCTCGTGCCGGCTATAATCAGAAGGTCAAGGTTTACACGGGAAAAGATCCAAAATGGACAGTCAATGTGGCAGAAAATGAGTAATGGAGTTGATGGATGGTTTTCTTATGCAAAGACGTTGCCTTTGCACCGAAAACTGGTACAGCAGTCTGCCGCTCACTCACAATCTAGTCATGAGGAAGACAGGCATTGTCGGAACCCTCCGAAGAAATCTTAGGGTCATTCCTCTAATCATCCAAGACGAAACTGCAGAAAGGGGAGTTTATCTACCAGTAGTATCTAAAAGGAGTGCTGATTTTAAAAGGGATAGACAAGAAAGACATTCACATGGTTTCGATGAAAGATTGCACCAGCTTTCACCCGAATGGTAAGCCTACGGTTGTTGTCGATTACAATATGATGAAGGGATTCGTTTACCTCATCGACCAGGTATCTGCCTATACTCCCTTTATGAGAATGCTACATCCGACTAATTTTTCTTCGCGTAATCCAGACTGCCTTAATCAATGCTTGGTTTTTATTGCGAGAAGGCAGGAAAATCAGAATAAATTATTTCAAAGAGGTAGTTGTGGACGCCATGCTGTGCAGGAAACTTAGAGACACGGCGATAATCAGCTCGAGAACACACGAGCAGGAGCTGGTGACTGCCCCAAATGCTGAGGCTAAAAACAGAGGGTTTTGTTCCGACTGCTATAGCTTAGTCTCTGCAACTTCATGCAGGTCGACCGCGAGCAACCCGGCCGAGAAGACTAAGACGAAGTTCATGCAATAAAATTTGGTTGCTCAAATTTTTTTCAATCAGTTCATGATTGTTGAATAATAAAAAATGGAATATTAGTCTTGTAACTCATTTGATAACTGGCCCATGCCATTTAAGACCATTATAGGTCTAAGTTGCATATCTTAACCAAAAAACGGGTGGGGCGTGCATTTTGGTTGAATAATATCATCGCACACCATTGTGTGACGTTGTAGTCAACGTGTTAAGGTGGCAGGGGAAGGTGCCATAAGTTGTAGGAAGTGGCAACGACTAGTTAAGCATACCCTGTGACTTTGCTGGGCTAATGCGGTGAGAAGAATTAGTAGAGGAAATAGATGACAGCCAGTGATAGCAACTGGCAATAGAACATACTATGGATATGTTGTCGTGATTAGCCTTTATCTCTTGCAATCACTCCCTTTCACCAGACCCTACTGACTCTTTTCCTTTACCTAAAAATTTTTCGAGCACAGCCCTCTAGGTTCAGAACAAGGGAGTGTGAGTTTTGATATCAATACGTGTGCATAAATAATATGTGCTAAAACAGAAATAAGTTACTTGTAGGAGGTCCGAAAGGTCATCTGGCATGGTAAGGGCGATTATCTAGCTTCAGTTGCTGTAGATGATATCGCTTCATCGGTATATATACATCAGATGAGCAGAGCTAGATCTCAGGTATGCTTCATGCACTTTGTTTTTCTTCGCTCTCAATATTTCTTTGTGGTGTATTGGATTCATCGAGATATTGTGTTCGAGTTTAGTGCTTTTAAGAAAGTTTGTGACATCTATGAGTGCTCATTTTTGCGGCAACAAAAGACCATGCGAAGTCTAACCGGCTCAAACCCTGTTATTAACAAACGTATACAATTCTTGTTGTTACCCGCAGCATGTGCTTTTTAGCAAACTTTTTGTAAAAAACATAGGTCTGCAATCATACTCATCATGTTGTGTCGAAAAAATTGATGTCGAGATTATTAATTTTCAAATCTTAAAGTTTGGGCAGCTTGTGAACGTTTTGGGATTGATATGCAATTCAGAGTCCATTCACGAAGAGAAAAGGTTATGTTCAATGTGTTGCTTTCCATCCTTCTCTGCCGCGGCTGTTCGTTGCCACAAGAATTCATGTCAGGTTAGTAAGAAGTGGAACCGTTTTTCGAAATCCAACGTTCTGATCTTGTCCACGCTTATTCTTAGCAGAATGAAGAAACATTTCCGGTATGAAATAGTCATAGGTGTTTTTATCTAATATTAGTGGTTCTTCCATTTGAAAAAGATCACAAAATGGTACGAGCTTCGATGCAATGGAATGGAATGGCCCGTGCTGCGATAAATCTAATGGGAACACTAGAGCTGTGATAGAAAACATGAAGACAAAAAGGGTTACTTATGTGATACGCCTTCGCAGTCTTTAGGCGGGGAAGGCCGTGCGAAAGGGTTCCTTAATGCACTACCTCCATGAAACGTTCAAATTGAAACCATTACGTTATCGTTTAGGGTGTACGACTTGGCACGGTGTCAACTTGTCAAGAAGTGTGTTACTGGTGTCAAACATATTGCTGCCATGGTGCCAGACATTCAGGGAGAAGTAAGCCTTTGAATACTGATCAATTTCAAATTACAAATGTTGTATCGTGGCAATAGGGCACGTTAAGTGGAAATCATATGAGTGCATATGCAATCTTGTAGAATAATCCTTCGCTCAAGAAGAACTCTGACATTTCAGAATCTTTTTGTGGGTGGACTTGATCGCAAATTTGTATGGCTCGATTTGCAATTATCATCAAAACCTTGGAAAAGTTTCAAACATCATAGCTCAGCCATCCGGGGCGTGGCTTACCATAGGAGGTATTTTTTGTATTGATTATATCCTGTGGCAGGTCTTTGGCGTGTTTTTTTTACTATAGAATGTGAATTGTTCGCTAATTCAACGTTAATTATTATGTACTTATGCTCTGCTCTGTAAAAGAAACTTTGAAAGACTGGTGTTAAAGAGTGGTTTTCGTTCACTCTTTCAAAGACGTTTCTTCGAGGTAAAGGGCAGGAGGCGTGCGATAGCGACACTACAGGGTGGGCCAAAATTATGATTACACAGACATCACATCCCCGAAAACGAATAGAAAGCTAAAAAAGCAGACCAATTCCACAAAAGTGTCTATCACTAATCTCTTATCAAAATAGTACATCAGCGGTGGCACGCAGCTAAGGTCATCGAGTTGATCCCACTTTTTGCAAGGCATTTTCGAGATTATTTCACTTCTTGTTTGGGATAATGGATGCTTTCATCTCAAAGGCTCACCACACTGAGACATCCATGGGATTCAGGTCAGGGCTCCGGAGTGGTCACTGATCGAAGGTTATGAAGTCAGGGAACCCCTTTTATGGAATTTCTAGACAATTTCTGATCTGCAGTTAGGAGCATCATCTTGACAGTATGTCCGGTTTGTATCGCCAAAGTGTCGTATTGCAAAGAGAAGAGATCGAATAGGTCTCCAAATCAACTTTCACTCCTTACTTTACAAAAACACTCGGTGCCTTGTCACGGCGGTGACGCTCGCAAAGGATATCGCAGAAAGTGAGCAAGCCTAGCGCTGCACCACTTCCATTTCTTTCAGCTTTATACAAATATTGTAGCCCTGCTTATTGGGAACCTTTTTCACTGCGGATATCTTTCCGCCGATGAACAGGAATCCCGCACGACAATTTTTAGTATGCGGCGGGGCAGCTTTGGTGAGCCAACACTTTTCTTCTTTTTAGCCTGCTCACTGGGGAAATCACTTTATGATCATATGAAGGCCTTGTCGTGCAGATGATGCTTCACGGTTTCGCACAGAAAACTTCATGAAATATCCATTCATTTGGTCATTTTGGCCTCAGAATGAACTTCGCTGCTACGCAGACCTGCGCCCTGCTTCATTAAAACTCCCACTAAATATAACCGCAGGCCTCTTAGGATTACAACTCCTATCTGCAATTTTTCCTAACTCTCGAAAGCGCATCATAATCGAATGTACCCCCTACCTTGTTACGCTGAGTCGTCTGTATATGCACCGTGCCAAAAGTGCTTGTAAATGCAAAGTGACGATTTATTCACAGGGTAATTACGCTTACATTATTTTCAAAATCTACCAAAAGTTTAGTATCATCAGGAAAGTAATAATGTAATCTACCTCGTGAAATAAAAGGAAGCGAACGAATTGCTATAACCTCAGAAAATTCGTTATGAGCGTCAGCGCGCGCTGTAATCATAATTTTGGCCCACCCTGTACACTGTCGATGGTGCGCTTGTAGCCTTCTACTGTAAACAGTTCTAATTGTAGATATCCACTATTGGCTACCGTATCCGATGATGGGACGGCCATGGTGTACTACGCTAGAATACATGTAGATCTGTTCAAGGATAATGAAATATATCCAGTGAAAAGGTTGGAAGGTCATACAATGGTGAGTTGTTAGTAATGTGATTGACTATTTTCGTGTTGGTCGGTGTTTATGGATCATTTCACTAAAGAAGGTAAATGAAGCTACCTTTGATTTCAAGGACATAGTGGTGTAGCCCTGTCTCTTGTAGACCTTTTTTGGGATCGAGACCTGCTCGAATTCAAATACGTTGTGTTGTCATAAACCAGCTTCCATTCCACGAATTGATCATGTTTTTTGTTTCCAATCAAACCGATCTACAAACCTTAAGGTGGATGGTCTGTCAATGTTAGATACTGTATGGCACCCCACTCAACCATGGCTGATCACCGCAGGAGCCGACGGAACGATAGCTTTGTTTAGCTATTGAATTTTAAAGTTCACCATATATTGTTTAACTTGACGTTGAATAAATTGCTCATATCGGTGGCGGTAGTAAAGAAGGGATTCATCAGAAACACTTGTTTGACTGTCCGTTGCTTTTCTTAGAAACAGGAGCTTTATTGTTTAGTTTCTAATGTTGCTTTCTTCATAGGTTCGACAGCGCGTAACTATGTATGTTTTGTGTATAGTGGTGTATAGTCTCTAACGGTTTTTAGAAGTCGATAGTTGATCTTTGTTTCTTACAGCTTCACGTGTCCTGTATCATCTGCCATCCTGTTGCTCATCGATTTTCTCGATCGTGAAAAGTCTGATTATCGCGCTGGCGGCCGTCAAGGGAGGTGTTCGTTTGACGTCCCAAGTCGGTAATCGACCTGGTCCAGAGGTCATCTCTATATCGCGCCGACCTGATTTTTGATTTCTTGGCGTAATCAACAGCATCCCTGATCTTCGCTCGTTGTCGGAGCTCGAAACTCCAGTTCTTCTTTGCCCTTGCGTGTACAGAGAAACTCCAAGCATGATCCCAGAATGCAGAATTTCATTCCTTCCCATAGCGCGTTGAATGACGCTAGCTCCATGCTCACCTTGCTTTCGTAGAGTCCAATCTCTGAGGCGTCCATCAGAGCAGGAAGGGCTGCAGTGTCGAAAAAGTGATTGCGGAGCTCGATGTTCCTTGTCTTTTTGACTACTCCCTCGACGCTCCTAAATGCTCTCGCCACGCATTTCTTTCTGCTCAGCTCCGGTGCTGAGTCATTCTCAGATTGACTTCTCGGCTAGTCATACGTAACTAGAGCATTCAGATATGTTCTCTCCGTTCAGCGTGAAAGGAGCATCAGAATTCGCATGAACGTAGTCTTCGTTAGGTTCAGTCGTAATCTGATCTTTCCACAAGGGTTATCAAATTAAGCCACCATTTGCTCCGCCTGCTCGATGTTCGGTGTTATAGGCACGATGTCATCTGCAAAGCGGAGATGATGTAAGTAGCGGCCGTCAACCTTCACTCTCATACCTTCCCATTCCATGACGCATGATGTTCTCAAGAGCGGCAAAAAAATTTTGGGCGAGATGGTGTCGCCCTGTCGAACCCCTCCCCTCACTTTGATAATGACTTTATTCATTTACCCTAAAATTCCATAGATAAGAGCGGTTGAAACTACCGGTGAAAAATGAATTGGAATGAAATTGAAATTGAATGCAGTCACCTTCTGACTTGATGGATGGATAAAATAAACTTCGAAGAAGAAGTTAAGAAGAAGCTCTGCCCCTTAACTCCAAACCCCGCCCACTTAATAACCAATTCATATAGAAAAATAGCGATCCATTAAAATCGCTATTTTTTATATGAATTGTTTATTAAGTGAGCGGGGTTTGGAGTTAAGGGGCGGAGCTTCTTCTTAACTTCTTCTTCGAAGTTTAATTTATCCATCAATCGAGTCAGAAGGTGACTGCATTCAATTTCAATTTCATTCCATTTCATTTTTCACCGGTAGTTTCAACCGCTCTTATCTATGGAATTTTAGGGTACTTATTTTTCAAAATATACACGAAGGAACGCTTCATTAACATTTACAAACCAGTTAAACCAGTTACTAACCTTAACAACAAAAAATGCTCAGTAAGAAAAACCATACCCATGAAAGGATACTCTCTAGGCACGTCTAGAAATCTTGTACGCCTGACAAAGCAAGAAAGACTAACTTCCTCAATTTCTTTTTGAACACGTAGGTGTTTCACGTCTTTTGCAGGTCTAATGGTAACAGTTGAAGCCATCTCGCTCCACGGAAGAAAAGTAAATGAAATACACAGGTCCGGTGATTTCTATTCAGTTTAGGGCATTGTAGAGATAACGAAGTGATACGACCTCTGCACGGTTTGATTACCCAGTACTTACTCGGCCGTAGCTTGAGTTCACCTTTAAGCATTTTGAAACAGATTACTATATCATTGAATACTCTTCTGTACAATAATGTTTTAAGATTGAAACGATGCAGTAGTTCATCATAGCTCAGTAAAGAACGTGGATATGATGGGTCAGTATAACATATATGCTTTAATATTCACGTAAAAGTTTGTTGAACTCTCAATTTTTGCATGAAGGCTCCTAATCCATATGAGGGTTCCATATCTGTAAACCGTATTCGAGTATGGAAACAACATACGCCTTATAGAGCCTTAATTGAAGTATCGTTGCATCGAAGACTTCTAGAAATGGCAAAAAGTGCTGCGAAGGCTTTTCGAACTACTACATCAATGTGACGCGATAAATCCAAGTAGCAATTGATAAGAAACCCAAGGTCGCAAACTTCGCATAAGGTGTTCAGTGAAATGTTGTTGACTGTGTATGGTTCGGCTATTTGGGCTACGCACGCTAATGCGTGCACCCCATGCCCACTACCGCTTACCTACTACTTGTTAGAGGACCAGTATGAACAGTATCGGTTGACTTCCCGTTTAATAATTGTTTCTTCACCACGCTCACTTCACATTAACACTCTTCGTCGTGCCTACGTGACTTTCGGAAGGACGCACAAACGGGCATTCAAACAGACACACAAAATTACCGTTTTACAGGATGCGGCAAAAGTTCTGGCAACGGTAAATATGATTGTAAAAATGGACAAATCGATCGATACATGATACAGCTTCAACAACATTTATCAACAGCTATATAGATCACAAAAACAAAGTAGATCTCGGAATAGCCTCCTTTTGCGCGGACACGGGTGAAAGAGTCCAAGGAAGTGCGTCGACGGCGGCACGGAGGTAGTCTACGTCCAAATCCTCCCATGCTTCAACAAAGGTTGCACGTAGAGCATCCTATCTTCTATGCTTAGTAAAGCAGGCTTTCTTCTTAAGAAGCGGCCACACGGAATAGTCCAATGAGTTTAGGTCTGGACTGTTTGGGGGCCAATCGTCCGACGAGATGAAGTCTGAGAAGTGCGTTGCGCACCAGTCCTGTACCGCTTTGGACCATTTTGGACCTGTGTGCTAGAGCTGAGTCCTGTTGATAAGTGCATGTCCGGTTGCCGAACTGGGATTTTGCTCAGGAAAGTTCCTCATTCCCCAAAACGCCTTTGAAGT